CCCACAGTTGCCCAAATCTTTAAATAAGATTTACAAGATTGATAAAACTAGGCTTGACACAACAAGAATTATTTGTTTCTGATGCTCTGTTGAGAAAGATATATGCTGTATGTATATCATTCACAAGAATTATGTTCAACCACACAATGAGTAAGCTAAATATTGTGGCATTCATCAAAGACAAACAAACAAACCATCTCTTTTCCACTATTAAAGTGTGCATAATTTGAAAATATTTTTAAAGGGTCAATCTGTATTACTGTATATACTGACCAATGATTAGTTGCTGGCGATGGCAAATCACCAACATATTTGAATAAAGAATATAATGCCTTTAAAAATATTCTGGATTTTATTACTCAGTCGCTAAACAATAAAATCTTTGAAAGAAGACAATATTATTGTGAAGATTGATTGATGTCTTTAAGTAATTTGAAGCAGAATGAATGATAATTACTGTAGATGTTGCCATTTTATTAATGATAGAACATTTGTCACAACTATCCAACTCCTATACACAGCCTGTAATATGATCAGGTTAAATGAACAAATAAACTGGCTAGTTATTGTGTAGCATTGATTTCTCTTTTCTTAATAACATGTTGAACACATCCAGATGAAATTCCCTCTTTAAAACCTGTTATTTTTAAGATAAATTGTATCTGCTTAGGAATATCTGCATTTTGAAGGCTTTCAGCTGACTTTTGTTAGAATTTCCAATGTATTTATCATATAATTTTCATAGGTCAATAAACCATACTGAAAACAGTGGATACATTTCCAGTGTAATTATAGAATAGTATTTTCAGACAAATGAAATAAAATTAAATGGGGGTTCCTACTGTTCTGCACCGGCAGGGCTAATCAAGATGGGCATACACCATGCAGTGTGCTATGAGGGACATTTTGCCTGGACAGCAGCACTATGACCTACTCGTATATCTAATTCCAACTGTCAAGGGTTCTTTTCTGTGCATGCCAATGTGTGCATGGGACCTTGGTTTGTAGTCCCATCCGAATTACTAGACAGCTGACCTGGTCTGGCCTTCTGTCCTGCACTACTGACAAGGGGAAACCACGCCGGAAAATCCTAAGAAACTTCTCGGCCAACACCAGGAGCGAACCCCAAGACCTCCAGGCTAGTAAGCCAGCATCTAACTCACTGAACCATATTTTCAGATGAACTAGTAATATAACATTACTACTTATGGCACACCATATGACAGTAGAAGCAGACTTTAAATAAACTCCATTTCATTTCTTTGGTACCGAAGCAATTCTTAACAGTGGGAAAAATACTGATTGATAAAATATTTCAAGTTAAAAGCCTGACACCTTATTTATACAATGAAGATACTACTCTTAAACCTCTTAATGTAGATATACAAAATTAAACACTTGACCTATTCTGGATATAAAAAAATGTGGTTTGTAGTCATAATGACCAAATAAATTTGTTAATAGAATGAAAGTAAGAAAAACACAATTTTTAATCTATGGTAGATCTTGTCATTTAAGATTATAGATTATATATATCAAACAGTTTTCTATTAATACAAAAATTATATATTTCTATAAATATATATAAAATCAATTTGTAGATACAGTAACCCACTCTTTTGACTTTTTTTTCAAACAAATTTGTTCATTTGATATATTTGTTGTATAAGAAAAGATAATTTGTTTGTTCAATATCAAATAATCTTAATAGTCAAACACGTACAGTTATCTTAAAGATGTTTTGAAAGCCCAATATTTCAACATTCATCTTACACATGAATATGTTTTATCAATACCTATAGAGATATGGTTTATAATGTCATCTAAGTCTTAGATAATAGATAATAAAATAATATTATTTGAAATAATTTAACTCGTATTTTATTGCAAACACCTGCCATTATGATAGGCGATACTTAGCTATGATTGGTTCCTATAATAATGACATCACAATCCGAAGTATTTAGATCTGTGGTATTGAACCACAATGGACTATAATGTATTATTAGTGATTGCTAAGTCAACACACGCCACCAATATATAACGGAAATAGGCATACATCTCTAGCCACTCATAAATCCGCTTCTTTATCAGATTTAAGCGTGTCTTTATCTATGGCTTTTTATGTTGAATAATTTTTTTTTTAAGAAGTAAAGAGGAATAAAGGTTATTTGGTCCAAGAATACAGAATTAATTTTTTGCCTGTCTTAGTTAAATTGTGTCTACTTCGCTGAAGCATGGTTAAACTTATAGAAATTGATTAAAGATTTAAGAGCGTAGATTCCATTTTTTCGTCAAGATTACTTTCGAAATAGGGGGTGAGGGGTGGAAGGGGCGAATGGTATGATACGTGCATGCTGTATCATAAGGTCTGTCATTGAGTCAACTGGCATGATTTCGATTCCCTGGATGTCAATGACAAGGAGTAGGGTCGCCTGTACAACCTCAGGGGTTTTGTCTGGGCCCTCTGGTTTCCTCCCACTGCTAAAAAACGCTATGTGAAAGCGAATTATTGAAATAAAATTGAACCATGTGTTAGTTCCGAAATGACTTAGTTTGTGTCGAGTGGACGTTAAACCCGATCTTTCTCTCTCTCTCTCTCTCTCTCTCTCTCTCTCTCTCCTATTGAAAAGAAATTGTACACCTGAAATAACATTAAATCCAATGATCTGAGCACAAATATTTTTTTCTGTAGAAATTGTATTTTATTTTCTGGCATTGAAATAAAGTGTGATAAAGGAGGGACATAAAAAGATATGTTATTTTCTGCCATCAACAATCCATAAAAGATACATAAGTGTATATACTGTGACAATCTTGTCAAATTGAAATCTGCCCTTCTTGTTCTAAATATATTTGAGTGATTCAAACGGCTTAATCTGTATGGAAGTATATCTTAGTCCTGAAGACCCATACATGTAGTTTGTCTTAAGTGGACGTTAAACCCCATTTTTCTCTCTCTTTTCCTGTAAAAGTGGACAAAATTTTAAATATTTGTTAAAGGACTTCCAATTTATTTATAAAAATAGCATAACTTCCGACTATATACATGTAGCTTTTCATTGTCTAAAAGAATTACAGTCTTTTTTTTGAGTAATAACTAAGAAAAAACATTTGACACCTTTTCTATTCATTTTTGTAGACAACTTGACCCTTACTGGTTTAAGTTAGGTTTATTGTGAAAGAAATTCATATGATTTATGTATCTGCAACTTGAATCTTTATGTGACTCCTGAGTTTCACAAAATGGCTGAGGTGTGTTAAATCATATTCTTACTGAAGCAGGGAGCCTATGACATGACCCATCATAAAATCTATAAACTTTAAACTATAAACTTGATAAAAACTTAAGGAAAGAGAGTAAACAAGCCTTAATTAGAATACAGCTGCAAACTTATCATGCATATTATCTAGGCCATGCAATCAAAGTGCAGTCCTTTTTAACAATTTTCATGTTATCATAATGACCGCATTGTAGCCATCTTTAATGCAAAGACACACGACTTGGTGTATTTCTGCCATAAAAGCAAACAAATCTCACATGATGTTGTAGCGTAAACCTATCTAGCAGATCTAATTGCTCACTAAACCATTATCCATAGTCAACAAAAAAACTTATTTTGCCCATATAAAAGATTGTTGGTGTGGAGGTTGGTTGGCACGTGAACATGTTGAGACGTTTTAAGGTAATCAAGCAACACCTGTCAATAATATGATGTCATAAACAATACATGTCTCTGTCAATCAATTTAAGCACTGGAAAGAAAGAAAGGATTTGATAGAAAAAACTTCTTGAGTCTTCAATAGATGCTTTGTTTCTAATCAGATTAATTTAATCAATAGAATATTAGAGACTAATAAAAAAAGAAATATTGCCCTTGGGGAAAAAATGTGGCAAGTTAGAGAAAAATATTATGACAATGAATGACAAATGTTGAGAAAATTCAATTTTGTCGATAAAACATTATAAGTGAATTCTATTATATTTAAGAATTGACGTTATATTCACTTAGGACCTAAATGTTATGTAATTTCTAGTTGTTTACGGGATGAAACCTATAGGTTTTTTTTGGTTTTTTTATATGTGATATCTGAAAGTCATTATACTGAGTATTTACTCATAATAGTTAAACATACATTATGCAAGAGCTAAATCTGCCTATTGCAGGTCTTTCTTTAGGCCTGAAATGTTTTCTAAATTATTAATTAGACATTAATTAACTGATCCAGGCCATGATCAACTCTCGCTCGCATCGGATTTTTCCGATATTAAATAGATTAGAACGGTTCAGCCATATTTTGATTTAATTTAAAAATAGAGGAGCGAGACTTAGCTTCGAACAACCAGTACAGTGGTTGAAATTATTGCACATGTCTCGTCAAACCTTCAAAGGCTAATATCTTCGCTCGCAATAGAATAATTTGAATGTAATTCTCAAATTAATCAATTTACATTATCTATTTTCGAACTATTATAGCAAGAATAGCTAGCTCTTTATCTGAATCTTACATAATGTATCTTTAATAGTAATCTTTGTTAATATCCATAACAAATTTGGTATAAAGAAGGAAGTTACACTCATTAAAAAAAGTGATAGCGAAAAAGAAATATTTAAAATGCATGTCTGACAGGATGTCCCTGTTGGAAGACGAACCTGTAACCCCATACATGGAATTGATGCATATCTAACAAGTGAACCAAAGGGAATTCCCCACGACAAAGTTAGTAGGCAGTATATTTAAACTCAAAACACCACAGGACCAATCAATCTATGCATCCCCAGAATAACAAACAATCACACAGCACACCACACAATAACATCCCTGCTACGTATAGAAGGTTGAAAATTAGTTTTAATTGCACAAGATTTTTCTTTTTCTTTGGCCGAAGATCTGGATTCCAAAGACTCTGGTTCTAATCATTTGTGGTATTGTGATTTAATTGATCATGATCATATCATTTTTTGTTATGCTTTAATTTATATTCTTTCTATTTACAGTCATGCTATATTAGATATTGGTTATTATGATACAAAGACCTTGTCGTTACTCCTGTTAGAGGATGTTGAAGATGGTAGACCAGTCCTTGTTCAACTACCTTTTTCTGTAATTAAAGATGACAGTTTTACCAAGTTAACATCTACAGAAAATGTAACAGCAAATGTGTAAGTGATGGACTTAAAGTTACTTAAACAATTTTTTTATTGTACATTAGTAATATTCTTGGGCAAGTTATTATTCTTTTTTGTCTTAACAGTATCTGTATTCTAAGTTTAATAAACATAATACAAATTAATTTTTATAATATCAGCCTAAATTGGCTATCAGTGTCAATATCCACACTGGTTGGTTGACATCAACTTTCGTAATATTGACAGACTAATATAGTATCAATTCAGCCATAATCTTTGTCCAACCTTCTTAATTCTGTGAGTTAGGATTTCTTAAGATATCTGTAATGTTTCTTTGTGAGTATAAGAAAAGATGAAGATGCTGAGAACTTGTGACAGAAGGAACAATATGATGATTGTATAAACCTGCTTGATTAGCTAATCTCCTGACCCACCTGTCTCCTTGAGAACACTCAGAGTTATGATCTCTTCAATAAAAGTCTTTCATGGTAATAAAATACAGTTACTTGAGACATGTCATCTTATCTTGGCACTAAGTTGACTCACAAGTCAACTCTCATGCAATAAATTGTCATCCAAATTTCACACCCATTACTTCAGAATTAAATGACTTGATTGATTGGAATTGGACGATGGTTGATGAGTTGATAGATTTACAGGTATAAAGAAGAGATGATAATCTAGTTGTCAGATTAGATGAGATTTAGTGACAACTAAGAACAGGTGATCTTCAGATTGTTATTTACTATACTATCAGAATGATATCATCTGATGCAAAGATACATGTAATGAGAATGCATGCATTCAGAATTTAAACTAAGAAATTATTAGTATCCAGAGAACAAGATGTAAATACATACTACGCAAATGTTCAATTTCACGTAAAGAGTCATAATTTAGAAATATAATGAGATTTTCATTCACCTAGTCATCTTTGAGTTTTGGATGTGATGGATTAAGTAATTTTGACAGTTTATAACAAATTAGAATTGATTTGATAGGGAAAAATCTAACATTCTGTAATCTTTTCTGTGACAAAGTTTGTTAATTTGAACGTTTTTTGCTAATTTAAACTTTGCTGATGAGATGAAGAGAGCTGTTTGATTAGTTATGGGCATAATAAAAGACACTTCTAAAGTTTATTCAGACCTGGTTGAGTGGGGAGCTTGCCAAGAAGTCACCGTAACAGATTGTTTCATTGGCTTATCCCTCACATCATCCAGAACACATCAACGATAACAACTCTTCCAGATCCTAGTGTAGTAAAGAAAAGTAAAACATAATTTTGAACTATAAAAAAACAAAACGAAATAGGATCTGTGTTTTAATCAGATTGCATTTTAAGGGATTTAAACAAAAACTAAAACTTCACATCATTGCTGAGTAATTTTATTAGCCAGAAATCGTTCAGAATCGTATCTGATGATCTAAACCCCCAGAAGCTTCCAAGGCCTAGCTAACAAACATTTGTTCTAATTTTGTGTTATTTTTTGAATCCTGTTGTGGTTAAACAATGTAATATTGATATTACATTATTCTAAGCTTGATATATAGAGGGTTGGGGTGGGTTTGAGCTACAAGGGCCAGTCCGACTTGGTGAAAGCCCCAACGCTTATGGTTAGGTTTTCGAAAAACACATTTTCCATGCACTGATCCATATTTCTGTTGAATTTCATCCATGTAACTGATGACCACATAAAAAGCCCAATTTTAAGGGTGTGGTCTGGTGAACTTTAGTACAAGCAGACTTTAGAAGTTTAGAAAAGCTCTAACATTTTTGGTTAAGAGTTTTAAAAAACACTAAGTATGAATCTTTCTTTCTGTTAAGTTTCAGCTATGTATTAGAAGGCCACATAACAAGCCCCATGTCAGAAAGCCCCATGTCAGATGTACTTGGGAAAAATCCAGGAAATTGTGGTTAGATTTGTAAAATATTTACTTCAAATATGGATACCTTTGTAGCCATGTAATTTATGACCTTAAACTGCTGCTGTAGCCATCTTCTTGAAAATAATAGTAACAAATTTTGAGACATTGAGATTATGCAAGTTACCTAAATTCCTCTCAAGGAACATCCCACTGCTTAAGATGACTTTACTTATTAGATAATTTGTTGAGCATGTCACAAGGTCAAACTACATCTGTTATAGTTCTTTATAGTTGTCTAAACCTGAAGAGTTGTTGTGTGACCCCTGTACTCGGGTGGTTTAATATGAAGAGTATTTGTATTATGATAAAGGAATGACCCTCTCCTCCCTCTATTCATCCATGGAGAATCAATTCTCCACCTCTCTTCTTTCATCTTTTAAATCATTAAAAATAAATGTGAGTTGCTGATAAAGGAGATTAGTCATCCAATACATGGCGCTTTCTTAACACTTCATTATGCTCAACTTCGATTGTCTGATTTCAGATAATGTTACAATATCTTTTGTTCCAGAGTCTGGGAATATGTTAATATTTTTAGGAATATTCTGTTCAAATATCTTTTGTTACGGCTTCTGGAAATAAGTTAATAATTGGTACATGTTTTGGGAATATGCTTTTACAATATATAGAGTTAAAATACAGATGTGACGTCATCCTTTATGGATGGCGTACCATTTCAAATAATGGTACAGGCAATGTGCCAAGCGTACATTATTTATACTAATTAAAATTTTGGACTCATGTGATGTATTTCATTGCAAAGCATGTGCGAGTGTCTGTATTTTAAGTTGTTTAATGGTCTCGAGTAATCACTTATTGAAACAACAACTTGTGACTAATGTCACTCGTGTTGTTTCAATATATTACTTAATGTCTCGCCTCAGCCATTTAACCACACTTAATGTACCATAGCAGTTAAAGGAGCTAAATGTCTATCTCAGTATTGTTTATAATATTCAAAATTAAAAACACAAATTAGAATTTAATATTTGTCAATTTCAATCAAGATTAATGATGTTATTTTAACATGAAAATATAGGATCCTAATATCCAATATTTAAAGGGACAATAACACTCTTGCTGGCTTGACAGCTCCAGAAAATAAAAAATAGCCTTATTCTAAGTACTAGATGTGTTAGTGCAATCTGTTTCACGGAGATTTTTTAATATCTCTGTTACAGATGACTGTTTCGACACGTGACGTCACATCACGTGGCGTCCATCATTGGCTCAATAGCGCGTGCATTGTTTACATAAGACGTCACGGATTCGGGCTAAATGGTGAATTTTACTTATTTTAATACCCATTTACACTAAATAGGAAATGATTTTTACCTACAAACGATTCAAACGACTTTATCTATTTTTCTAATAAATGAAAAAAATGTTTCAGAATTTAATTTGTCGAAAGAAAAAAGTTAATATTTTGTAGTCATTAAGTCGCATCGATGTCATCCTTATCAGTGATTGTAGCGGCCAAGCGAATATTCACTGCGGATCAGTGTGGTGTTAGTGTCCTACCTGTTGTGTAAATTATCCATTAAATCCAATTTTACTTGTCCAGAAGGTTCAAAAATATTTTTAAATCCAAGTCTCATTTGAAAAGCTTTACGTCCGGCTTTTCAAATCATTTAGTTGAATTTTTCCAATTTTTTAAATTAGGTGTGTTAAGATGAAATTTGTATCATCAATTAATTGGAATATTGTAAAATAGTGAAATTTGTTGACCAGAATAAAGATTGGGACATATTATTCAGTTACAACAAGAGTGGTATTGAGCCTTTAAGACAAATGAACATTTTAAAATCAGTGCACATATACTCTATGGTTTTTGGCAGCATTTGTAATGAACAAAGAAAAACATATCCTACAAAACAATACAGGAGTAATTGAAATTGAATATAAATCAGATAACATGTACCAGTAAATACATTCATACTACATAAATATATTTTATAGTCCCAGTTAGAGCTTTCAAAGAATATAGCCATGTGCCCTTTAAATACTTTTACAATTTTGATTTATTAAAGAAAAATATATAGCTAATAATATCTAAATTAAAGGAGAAATGATTTGTACGAGGTCTGCATTGTGGGAACTATTTTAATAAAAAAAAATATATAGAAGCTGGAATGCCAACACAAACACAAGTTTTTGCCATTTGAAGACAGTTCATTGGAAGTGTGTGTTAATATTTTCAATTTTATTCATGTTTTGACAGATCAATTCCTGGACCTTAATGAAACAATAAAATGTAATGCCATTCTTCATTTCTAACATCAAATTGTTATGCTGGACATGATCACATGTTACTGTTAACCTTTAGGGTCATTTGTTTCATTAGCTGTAAAATTGTGAGTTACCGCTGCAACCATGGTGTTTCATAAACAATACAGTTGACCATTGAGGATCTTTGGACACCAGTCACTAGGCAAAATCAAAGGTATTGGTATCCTTAACGGGCCAGTCTCTAGTGAAAAGACTTGACCTTAGGGTCTGACTAGGTGAAAATTTCTTTCAGTTATGGATAATAAGGTAGAAAATGAATTTGACCCATGGGTTAAGAATGGTATAATTAGCTTTAAATCAAAGTGACCACTACCCTTCCTACTGAATAAGAGTTGGGGTGTATCTGACCTTAAGGTCATCTGTATGTTCTGAATTCTATCATGAATGACCAGTGTCTTATACAAGAAGATTACTATATATAGTTCTGAATTTTAATGGTCAGTAAAGCAAGAACCAGGGGATGCTCAAGCTGAAAATTGACCCTAGAGGTTAAACTTCACAGATGAGCTTTAGTTATATTACCTGATGAAGTAAATTTATCCAATTATTAGTCTGAAACCTAATACGCTAATAGTTCATATTTTTATTTTATAATCATATATTTTCAGGAATACTATAGAAGTAGGTCCATTAATACCAAAACATTCCTACCGACATCTAGAAAACATGCAGGCACATTCATTTGCTGTCAGTGGTATTCGTAAAACTGCTACCGTGGTAAGTTTTGACATACAATTATCAGTGAAAAGAACAGGTACTGATTGTGTTAAATCATTAAAAAATGTCCTTCATTTAAGACGATAATAAGAGGCTGTGAGGAAAATTTTGTGTTTTAAGAAGGAAAAACACCAGAGCAATTGTGTCTGGCTTAAAAAGCTTGGATTTAGTCCCCAAAAAAACAAAGCAACTTTATATTTGTATCAAAATGTATAAGAAGTATGATGTATCTCTATTCATGTTTTTACAGCTTTATGCTTCAAGAAGACGGGTTCGTATATTTATGTTGGATGGAGAAGAAGATTCTGACGATGAGGATGAAGATGAATCAAAAGATGAGAGCAATCTAGAAATAAGTCGATCGGAAGGAAATTTAGATGTTAGTCAACCCATGAACGAGGATGAAAATAAAGAAAATAATTCTACTTAACTTTTTGAATTGGAATAAAATCTGTAATATAATAAATTTGGTTAATAAGGGGGAATAACTCCATTATTCAGCACAGCCCATGTTGATGTCCCAAAGACATTACCTTAGAACGGAGTAGGATTTCAAGTATACACCATTTTCAAATTTGTGTTGAGATTTTTTGATGGGTGGGGGTTGGATCTGTCCCTGAGTTTTGTTTCCAGCTCAAATCTTAGGAACCATTAAAGATAGGTTTTGAGAACCTTTTTGATTTAATCATTTTTTTGCTTCTGTTATAACATTTGAGATATACACAATGCTTATCTTCACAAGCCGTAGATGCCTTTATATTTTAAATTGTCATATCACACCATTAGATAGGACTACTTCGTGGAAAGCAGAAATAAGCGAGAAGAGAGAAAATAGAAAAAAGTAAAGGTGTACCATTTACATAAGGGGCAACCTATATCTATGGAATTATGCTTCATCACATCTTTGTAAATACTGAAAGGAGTCAATCTATTTTTGGACTGATATTCCTATTATACATTCAACATTTACAATATTGTGTTTTGCAAGGACAGACCAGAGTCTTATAATCTTATATATAGACAGTAGCCAACTGACGCCATGGGTGCCATTTTGTTACCCATTTTTACATTGCAGATAGAACCACATTACAGTGTGTGACCGATTAATATGTTTTAGATCTGCGCAAATGTATTTTTATATTTACTCAAGTGTAGGGGTAGACAATAATTTCAATAAATCAATTAATCACAATATTATGTAAATTTTATTGACAATATTTATTTCTATACGTCTCTGTCCGTCCGTCCGTCCATCCATAATTTGTTTGTGGACACTCTACAGGTCACAATTCTTTTTCAATTTTGACAAAACTTCAAATATAAATTTATCTCCAAAAGATCTCGATATTGGCATGTATAGGATCAAAACTTCAAGGATTACGGCTCCTAATTGTACGAATAATCTGGTTTTAGCTAGCTTGTGGACATTCTAGCGGTGATAATTTTAATCCAAATTAGATTATATGTAATGTTGCCTGGCTACCTATTTTTTATTTAATTTTTATCATAGAGATATTGAAACAAGCTCTGTGCATCCCAATTTCGTTTCCAGAGCATATCGCATCAACCTATTATTTTGAAAATAAAACTGTTTTCAAACAACTTAAACCTGCCAGTCTTCATCTGGAAGTGGAATATTATGCGATGTCTGGATAAAACCAGACTTTTATTTTATAAAAATAATGTATAGGTGAAATCTACCTTTCCTTATCAAGTACAGCACTTGGGTCATGCACTGAATAGACTTCTAAAGCAACAGCAATAGGTTACCAGGTCACCCAACTAAAAACTTGACCCAAAATCTTAAAAAGCTTATGTGTCCGGATAAGCAATTTTGATGTTCAGTTGAAATGACTCAATATTTTGAGCTGAAATTTTTGTGTTTCTTTGGAAAGAGGGAGTCAAGTGGCAATCTTAAGATTCTGCATGACAAGGATTTGGGTCTTTAGGTCGCCGGCCCAACCTTGTGGGTTTTCTTTGGGTCCTTGAGTTTCCTCGACTGCTATAGACACCTATTGAAGGTATACCATAGTTAGACTCTCTCTCTCTCCTCTTCTCTCTCTCTCTCTCTCTGGAAAGGAATTTGACTTAGTTTTTGGTGTAAAATTTATATTCAGGAGCATATCAAATAAATGTTTTAGCCTTTTAATCAAAATTGCAAGAAAACGAAATTCAAAGTTCGACTCCCTACTAAGACCAGAAAAAGAATAACAATTTTAATAAAAACAAGTTTTTCAGACTTCAAGGCTAATAATCCGAATAATAATACGCAATGTGAAATACTAACAATGAGTTTCAGTGAAAACGAATGGAATGACAGTTCTGCATAAGATATAGTCAGTAAGAGGCGGGAACTGTGTAAGAATCTGTAATTGCATAGTACTGTTTTAAGACAAAAAAAAATCACCCCAAAATCTCAACAGTTGATGTAGGCATTGTATCGAGGCAAGAGCCTGATTGTCAAAACAGTAATATGACATATATAGAATAATAATAAAAAAATGAAAAAAAAAAAAATGACTATATCAATGAAGTTTAAATCAAAAAACATCTACTACTTGGCTAGGCTTATAATATAGGCAGTGACACTGTGTCAAACTCAAAAGTGTTATTCTCAAGTTCATAATAAATTTTCGAAAATTCACTCATTTATGAAGTCATTAAACATATCAATAAAAAAAAAAATGACCACAACAGACCATTTGTGTCATTTAAAAACCGGTCAAATTATAGGCTACTATAGCAGACGAATTGTGCCCATGTGTCACGTGACTGTCATTAGCCAATCACAATTGGGACGGGGGTTGGCCAGAATCCCTAATAAGGCTCTGCGGCCGACTCTCTGTCTCTTTTCTCCCCTTTTGCATGCCCATTCTTGTTGATTTTTTTTTATCTAGAATGGACGAAGAGCGCTTGAATTAACATTTTCTGCAGGTTTTGGTAAATATTCATTATTTAGAGGTGGAAGGATAACAGAGTTATCAGGTTGGTATACGGTTACAGGTACATTACATGCTTTTAGTATGCTTCTTCAAGTTTGATGGTCAACCTTATACAAATTTGGGTGCAAAGACATGGCAATTTGTTTCTCTGTCTGTAGTGAAAAACATTCAGCCCAACGAAAATTTGGGGGAAAGGTGGAAGCATTAACATTGAACAAAGTCAATGGGGAAATTAATGGTGGTCTGACTCCAACACCAATAAATGTAGTCACCACCCTTGATATACGCACAAGCAGCGGGGAGATAACATAATAATGCCCTTAAAAAATCAAAACAAAACAAAAATCATGTACATTCATTCAGTTGTGTATGGTGTTTTTATACGCCCACATTTTCATGTGGACGTATTATGCCGTCGCCCCTGTCCGACGGTCCACAATTGTTTGTGGACCAGATTGTACGAAAAATCACGTTTTTAGCTTGTGGACCCTATAGAGGTCACAATTTTTATCCGATTTTTTTTAAACTTGAAATGTAAGTTTATAACCCAAAGATCTCGGTCCTTTTGATATTCGCGCATATCGGACCGTAACTTCCTGAATTATGGCCCCTGATTGTACGAAAAATCGCGTTTTTAGCTTGTGGACCCTATAGAGGTCATAATTTTTATCCGATTTAAAAAAAAACGTATTATTATATCACCGTTACACCCTAAGGACGACTGAGTTCGAATTTCGTGAAAATCGGCCCAAAATTGACAGACAAAATGGCTGCCGTTTGTTCTCAAATAGCGTAAAAATATGGTATATCAGGGTTGTGGACCCTATAGAGGTCACAATTTTTATCCGATTTTGTTGAAAATTGAAATGTAAGTTTATAACCCAAAGATCTCGGTTCCTTTAGATATTCGCGCATATCGGACCGTAACTTCCTGAATTATGGCCCCTGATTGTACGAAAAATCGCGTTTTTAGCTTGTGGACCCTATAGAGGTCATAATTTTTATCCGATTTAAAAAACCGTATTATTATATCACCGTTACACCCTAAGCACGACTGAGTTCGAATTTCGTGAAAATCGGCCCAAAACTGACAGATAAAATGGCCGCTCTTCGTTCTCAAATAGCGTAAAAATAGGGTATATCAAAGTTGTGGACCCTATAGAAGTCACAATTTTTATCCGATTTTGTTGAAACTTGATATGTAAGTTTATAACACAAAGATCTCGGTTCCTTTCGATATTTGCGCATATCGAATTGTAATTTCCTGAATTATGGCCCTTGATTGTAGGAAAAATCACTTTCTTGTTAGCTTGTTCTCTATCCATCTCTCGAAAATGTGGGCGTATCCTGCCTGGCAGCCGCTGGTTCTTTCAGCCATTTCGCGCGTATCTTAATCAAAATGGAATTTTATTAATGGTGCAGGCCTACGCATGTTCCACGACTGTGACGACACCCGACTGCTACCTACACAGTTTCAGTAGACAGCTTTTATATATTTCAAAGTAAGGAGACTGTACCAAGAATTTCATGTTAGAATTTAAAAAAATCATGGGTGTACGAATGAATTTCATTGGTTTATTGCTTTTGCTATTATTGCTGTTTTATTTCTTTCTTTGTTTTGTATTTTTCTAATGGGGTGGGTGAGAGTATGTCCGGCAATTTTCTGCAATACACTTACACAAAATGATAGGCATATAGAATTTTGTTTTTCAGTTAGGCGAAGATCGACAGTCATTAAATTTATATTAGTAAGTGTAGAAGGGTCCTTCGGATGATACGAAAAACCGAGGTCCCGTGTAAACATTGGAATGCACGCAAAAGATCCCTTGGCAGTTGGAATTCGATATAAGAGTCAGGGCTGGGGTAATGGTAATGGAATGTAATCATTACATTTTTAAGTAATGGCCATGTAATGAGTAATGGAAGATTTTAAAAGTAATGAGTAATGGAAATGTAATTAATTACATTCCAAAAATCATGTAATGGTCAATTACATTTCAATTACTTTTCAATTACATTTTATGACATATATAAATATTTCCAATATGACAAGCCTCAAATTTTATAGCACCAAAGAAGTAATTAAGTGTATCTGACACAAATTCAATTCGTTATAATTCTAAAAAAAAAAGATTTAAATCATTTTTAAAAAATTATTAAGAAAAATAAGAAGGCATTAAACATTTTCTTTATTACTTTTTATGTAGGAACCTTTTTTAGACATGTGTTATACCCCATTTCATTTCATTTCAATTTTTTACACATGTAACCTAAGAAGTGGATTTCTGATAAGATGTATATTATAATCAAAGATTAGTACTAATTTGCAACCAATCACTCAGTCAATCAATCAATCAGTCAGTTAGATTAAAAGACAATAAATAGTCTTACTGCACTTTAATCTTAATCTCAAGGTAACAAGTGACAAACCAAACAATGACCTTCAAGTATCTCATCATTTTATGGTTACTTAAAACTAATATATATTTTGTTTAGAGTCATGCTGAATAATTTACCATTTATTATACAATATATTATAGAAAAACTATTTGGACTGATTAAATTTTTTAAAAAATTACTTAAAAGAAAATACAGTTAATTAACTATAGTTTTGATTCATTTTTCAGGTCATACAGTGAAAATGTCAGTTTTTGTCACCACTGCCCGTCACTATAAAATTTGCCTTGATGTTATAATTGCTAGAAATAATAATTCATCAACAAATATCTATTAAGTGAATCAAGGATTATTTTGAGTTTGATTTTGTAGGTACTTCATGGCAGAAAAATAATGTTGTCTTTTTTATTTCTATGAAAATGTTTTTTTATTTATATAGTCATAAAGTAATGAGTAATGGTAATTAATTACTTTCAATGTAATGAATAATGGTAATTAATTACATTGCTAAAAATGAGAAAGTAATTCTAATGGTAATGTAATTAATTACATTGGCAATGTTATGGCCCCAGCCCTGATAAGAGTAGGCGATAGTGCCGCTGCCAGGGCAAAATTTCTTTCATAGCACACTGTATGGCGTATGCCCGTCTTCATTAGCCCAGTATAGGAGCAGAACAGTAGGACGTTAAACCCCATTTCATTTCATTTCATTTCAAGTGTAGAAGGACCACGCCACACACAGCAATTACACAAGACAAGCCCACGGACAGGACACAACCGTGGGTCACGATGTCTGCGAATTGGCACGTAAACACTAGCAATGTCCTTCGTCACGATTGCCAATTCATTGCTTCA